GTACAGTTTATTTTTAGACTATAAACACATTTACTCTTGAGGGATGAACAGGAAGTATTTTTACCTAGCACCTCATAAAACTCTGAGTTCAGTATTTTGTCTTTTCCTTAGTGACTTTGTGTGGCCACATGGCGTTTGTGTGATTTGGCTTTGGGTTATTTCCCAGCAGCAAAGGTGAAAAGTACCCAGAACCTGATTCCTGGCCCCAGACACTTTTTGTCACCTCTCCCTGGAGGACCAGGCTGGGGCAGAGTGCTTCTCTCCTCTGTGCCGCTTTACCTCACAGTGTGAGGATCTTGTTTCTTTATAATTTTATGGAATATAATGGACTGCAGCTAATAAAACTACCGCTCAATCAACTATCACAGTATTTGATTGCCACAATTAGAAGTATTCAATTTCAATCTACTAATTCAATTGGAAATCCAGGAAGTCAGAAATTTTGTCTGTTTTATTAAAATCCTTGTTTCCTAAGCATTTTACACACTGATATAATGTAATAGATGATAAAAAATATTTGTAAATGGGATCCCATGGGTTTTGACTAGCTCCCAGTCAAAACAGGGCCTATGCAGCTTGAATTTCCAGGATGCTCAAAATATAAGCTCTTTGGCTAAAGAGATGGCTCAGTAAGAGCATGTGCTGTGCAAGCATGAAGACCCAAGTTCATTTTAAATTCCCAGGGTCCATGGTAAAAAACTGAGTGTAGAAGTGTGTGTGCTGTAAACACCCAGCACTGGGGTGAGTGGGCCTGGGGAGACAGGAGGCTCTCGGGGGCTTGCTGGTTTCCAGCCTAGTTCCAAGCTCAGTGGCAGAGCTTGTCTTAAGGGAATAAAGGTGGAGAGTTATAGAATACAACACTCCAACCTTTGCCTGTGCACCAGTACCAGTCTACTCACATACACAACACGTGTAACACACATGTACAGAGAGAGAGAGAGAGAGAGAGAGAGAGAGAGAGAGAGAGAGAGAGCTTTTTCTCCAAGTTTTCAACTAAATTCCTCATTGTTTTTAAACAAATTCTGGAATTGGTCTGTTGGCACATGCTTGCTATCCCAACACTCAGGAGATTGAAAGTTCAAGACCAACACGGACTACTTAATGAGATCCTATACTGAGAAAGCAAACTAAACCACCTCCCTACCCCCAATAAAAAATCTCTACCCTAAACAAAGACACAACATAATAGTAATTTTAAATGCCCTGGGTATTGATCAGATTGGTAGTATGGTTTTGAAAAATACATTTCTTTTTGCTGAACTGAAGTCAAAATAAGTCATGTCAACCATTTCTATAAAAAAGGACTGACTGGCTGCTCTGTTCAATAACAGTTTCAGAATGAGAGATGGGAGGGATAGGGATAGAGGGATCAAGAGGGAAAGATTTAATGCACGTGTGTGTGTGTGTGTGTGTGTGTGTGTGTGTGTGTTCTAAGTGAACTGGATGATGGGTTTAAAATTTTTAATCCTCTTGCTCATTTATAATTGCTTAAATCTATGGTGTTCCTCTTTCTTATTGCATCTCAACATGGAGCTCAGCTTCTTAAAACATAATTTTATTGCCTTTCTTTAAAAATGAAGAGTTCTGGGACTGGAGAGATGGCTAAGTGGTTAAGAACACTGGTTTGGTTCCCAGCATCTGCTTACAGTCACCTGGAACTCCATTTCCAGGGGATCCAATGCCCTCTTCTGGCCTCCACGGGCATTGCATGCATGTGTTACACTTAATGTCATGCAGGTAAAACACTCATATATGTAAAAATAAATAAATAACAAAAAATTGGAGAGTTCTAGAAGTCTTCCTGAAGGCTGGAGTCGGGTACTTGCTGTGTGTGGTGGCCTGTATTGTGAGACTCTCTCCCCTTTTTTCTCTCTGGTTTTGGTGACAGGGTACACAGAGGGTAGTAGACTCCTGGTCTCCTTCCTGGCTCTTCTCATGACCAAGTTTGGGCAATCAGTGGCATGAACGAAGTGGTAGTGAACTTATTCAGAATTTGTGACATCTGCTTGAATTGAAAACATCGCATACTGAACTGGAAGGCGGAGCATTTCTGCACCAGAGTTTTGAATATTGCAAATCTTCTTGATCTGTGCATTTGGATTGGTTGGTTTCCATTGCCTTTTTGAAAAATAGGGTGAAATGTAGTTCTCACAGGAAGACCTGCAGGTTAGAAATCTAGGTTTAGAGAATCTATTATTTTTAAGTTCATTCTCATAGGTACTAAAATTTAGGTCTGTCTGTCCCTTACTTGCCTATCCCTTACAGCTTGTCTATACCTTACAGCTCTAGACTTTGTCTTGGGCTTGCTAACAAGGTGACTGGGGCAGACTGCATTTGTCTCTCTCAGGCCATGTCCTCTACTCACAGGCATGAGAACCCTGACCCTTTTGAGATTTTTGTTCAGTTAACCAGATTGAGATAGAGGAAGGGCTCTGAATTCCTGTGTGATAGTTGTAGTGATGACACGAATCACACTTCCCTTCACCTTCACTGTGGGCTGTATTAGTTACTTTTCTGTTGCTGTGATAAAAAGTTAAAAAAAAAAGCAAAAAACGTCATGACCAAGACCATTTAGAGAAGAAAGACTTTCATTTGGCTTATGTTTCCAGAGGGAGAGTCCAAGGTGGGGAGAGAGGCATGGTGACAGGAGGTGGCTAGAGTAGGAAGTGGAGTGCTCACATCTTCAGCCAGGCACAGGGAGAGGAGAGGAGAGGAGGGGAGGGGAGGGGAGGGAGAGGGAGAGGGGGAGAGAGAAAGAGAGAGAGAGAAAGAGAGAGAGAATCATAGCCTGCTTCCAGTGACATGCTTCCCTCAGCAAGGATGCACCTCCTAAACCTCCAAGAACAGTGCCACCAACTGGGGACAAAAGTGTTCAGATACTTGGAGCCTTTAGGGGACAGTCTCATTCAAAGCACCACAGGGGGTCTATCCACTTGCAGAACTATTAAAATTTCTTATGAATGCTCCTTCTTTTTCTGTCTGGACTGGTAGAAAGTTGGGAACCAAACTTGTAGGACCCCTTCAAGGACAGCATGGCCCATATCTTGTAAGATAGCCTCATTTTCTTCTATTTTCTGCCTCTTTCCCCCATTCTCTTTTTTTTTTCATTTTATTCTCTAATTTATGCTGTCTGACTATATCATGTGTGCACCGACATAAGCAGTCTTAAATCCCGTCAGAAGAAGTTAATGGGTAAGGACTAACCAAACAAGCATATTGGGACACCAGACACCAGGCTGTGAGGCTGATGATGAGGCTGACCTGAGAGATGTCTGAGCTCCTGAGTGAATAGTGGTCTGTTCAGTGATCCTTCTTCTGAGGTGATGGTGGTGAAGTTTATCAGCTCTTTGGCTAAAAAGAACCTAAGATTCTTGGAATTAGGAGTCAGAGAAAAAGAGTATCTGGAATTAAACAATTATTTCTGTTGAAATTGGCCATTGTTTCTAATATGTTTTATTTAAGTTTTTACACACGCAGTGAGGGTTTTAAAGGAAAGACTGTATGCTTAAGCACAGACTGTTATGCAAATGCATTTTCATCATCCTTCAAAGTGCTCTTTTTTGGGACAAATTTGTAGATCATGTTCAGCAGTGAGAAAGAAATGAGGCCTTGTATGACAATGCTAATAGTTTAAGAATTATTAATATTTTATCACAATTTTGGTTTGCTTGCAATATCTGTGATAGCTTGAATGGTCATCAATTTTAAAAATGCATTTTAATTATTGACTATATTTATTTTTGTTTTTATTCCAGCAGCTATTCAAAATGGCGAGCGTCAACAGTCAGGTTTGTTTGTGGTGATCTTAAGCAACTGGGTGCAATGAAGCTTGGGAAGCTTGACATTCAGAGGATAGTTCTATGCTACAGTCTGTGTCTGTGTCTTTGTGTGTGTGTGTGTGTGTGTGTGTGTGTGTGTGTGTGTGTGTGTATGTCTATGTATGCCACATGTGTGAGTGTCCATGGAGGCCAGAAGAGGGCATTAGATCTCCTGGAACTGGAGTTACAGGTAGATTGTGAGCCACCTGACACCGGTGTTCTGAACTGAACATGGATCTTCTGGAAGAACAGCAAGTCTTCTTAACAGCTGAGCCGTCTATGCAGCTGCTGTTGATTGTATAAATATTAGGTCTCTTCTTGGATAATTTTACTAGCCTATGTCTGTTCTCTGATTGAAAGTCTACTAATACCAATGGATGAACCACGGATTTGGTTTAATCATTCATAGATCTGCAGCACATGCTTGATTTGTTTGAACTCAGACCATCTTCTTGTCTTGTGGTCAGCTTAAAAGTCTCAGGAAGGGGCTGGAGAGATGGCTTAGTGGTTAAGAATGTGTACTGCAGCTGGGTGTGGTGGCATAAGGCTTCAATCCCAGTACTTGGGAGGCAGAGGGTGGAGGATCTCTGTAAGATCAAGGTCAGCCTGGTCTATATATCTTGAGTGCCAGACCAGCTGGGGCTACAGGGAGACCCTGTCTCAGAAAGACCAAAAAAAAAAAAAAAAAAAAAAAAAAAATGTGTACCACTCTTGCAATGTTTGGTTCCTAGCCCCCACATTGGGCAGCTCATAACCACCTGTAACTCCAACTTTTGGGGACCCAATACCCTCTTCTCACCTTCACAGGTACCTGCACTCATATGTACACACCCACGTACAGATAGAGATACATACATATATACATATAAAAAGAAAATCTTTTAAAAAATGTCTCGGGAAAGATTTGTTTTCTTCTCTACTCCTGGACTGAAAACACAAAATAACTTAAACATATTATTACTAAGTTTTTAAAAGGGAGTTTGAACTTCTGTCCCATGTGAATTTTAGACACACCTACAGTTTAAATTTGCCTCAGTTGTACCATGTTCCTCATTTTCTCTCTATATATTCACTCTTTAGTGCTCTTGAGAGTTTTGTGAGTAAAACAAGAGCAACAGAATGAGAAGGCTTTCTGTTTATAAGCTCCATGTCGGTTAGTCATTCCATTTTCTTTGTTTTCAGTTCTCTCGGGAGGACCGTTGCCTCAGGGGCACGAATTTGAACTGTATGAAGTTAGATTTCACTGGGGAAGAGAGAACCAACGTGGTTCTGAGCACACGGTTAATTTCAAAGCTTTTCCCATGGAGGTAAGAATAACGATCATCTTGCAAAAATCTTGTCATTTAGTAAAGAATTCAGTGATTTTACTGAAAATGCTTTGAAAGTAGCTTTTGAATTTTATGTTTATACTAAGAGAAAAGAGTGCTTACTGAAATGTCAGCTTGGTGCAGCAAGTAAGACTTGGGCCGCACAGGGAGCGGGTTGGCCGCAGATCAAGCTGCATCTCACTCTTGCATCGTTGCTGCTGCTGCTGCCTCTGTCCATTCTAGGGCTCCGCTGCACATGCTCTGAATTGGGTGGGAGCTCTTGGAGAAAGCCCAACATTAGTGAGACATCTAGTGTCACTCATTTAAAGTTGTGCATTACCTTTATTCTCTGCAAACTGTTAAGAACAGGGTGATGTTTACAGAGAGGTTCTTTTGTCGAAAGGATTTTTATAATATATAATACTAATTTATAATATATAGTATAATTATAATATTATAATTAATGATTTAATAATAAATTCTTACAATACCTTCTTCAACATGCAGCTGAAGTCTATGGCACTTTTTCTGTGTTTCTTGCTTAATTCTTGTCCTATCTCTGTTTACGTAGTGGGCTTGATAGTTACCTGTCGTGCACTTATCCAGTGGACTGGCTCATGTCGAGTCCATGGTCTTTGTTAATTGTGGTCTTTTTATGACAGAAATCTCCCTGGCATTCCTCTGTAGCACACTGTCAGGCTTACCGCAAGCAGTCCATTCTGGTGAGGTTGAAAGGATGTCCCTGTTGGTGCAGGACTTGTTTTTATTACTTTCCATAAGAAATCTCAATTCTCCCCAAGAAATAGACATTCATTGTTGTCTAAGAACCTGCAACCTGCCCCCCCGTCACTCTAATTCATTTGTAAGACCTTACTTATTAACTACATCATCCCAGACTTCATCTCCACACAGAATCATGTAGACAACCATCCACTGGATTTTTTGATTTGGCAGACATGATAGATTAAGGACCATCTAATACTTAAAAAAAAAAAAACCAACAACAACACAAAAGTGTATTTTGAGGACTGCTAGAATGCTAGATCTTTCTCCTGTTCTCCACTACAAACATGCTTCATGTTAAATACAGAATTGTCTGGCCAGATTCCATGTCTAGAACTGCCTTAGTGATTAGAAGTCACTATTGTATAATTTTATATACATCATGTGTGGACTGTAAAAGGTTGCACTGAAGTATTTTTGGCATTACCTTAATAATGACTTTAAAAATCCCTTTAGAAACTTAGGATATTCACTTCATCAAAAAGAAACCCAAGCTTTAAAAATGAAATGAAAAGTGCTTCAAGGATGGAGGGAAAATGCCAAATGATATTCGAAAGTGTACAAAGTATGCCAAGAGAGAACAGGAAGAGAAGATGGCCTCTTCTAGCATCTGTTAAGAAGGGCTCCCCGTGGTCCTTGCTAGAAGCCATGCTTTTTTTCCTTTACAATGCTTAGAGACATCCTCTCATCTCTGCTGCCTTAAAACATGTCATGTAAACTTATGGCTCTCATCTTGTCCCAAGCCAACTTGAGAAGAAACAGTTCACACCACAACATATCACAGGGGGCAGAGGACATGAGACAAAGCAGGCCATTTCATCATCCCATCCCAATCAGTCCTCAAGGCAGAGGTACAGGGAAAGATGGACATAATGGGGCAGGAAGGACTACAGATGAGATTGCTTGTCACCCAGTTTACAGCCTTGGGGAGAGCTCATTAGATTCTGGGATTAGCAATCTGTGTGCCCTTTCTGTTTGGTCGGGTAGTTTCCAGACCAAATGTTCAAACTGGTTCAGCTACTTGGTGGTTCTTTAACTGCTTCGGTCCATTAAGCACTGGTAATGGTTTGTTTTGAATAAAGATTAAATTTTGCTACTGAGGTTTTGCTTTTGTAGAAATATTTTTATTTAGGATAATGGAATTACTGGATTTATTTCTTTTCAAAATAGTTAAGGATTGATGCTTGCATTCTTTCTTATCCCAGATTATCTTTGATGAAATCCCAGGGAAAATGCACCAGTCATCTGATACTTGTTTGGGCTAGATCACTGCAGCTCTTATAAAAAGGTTGTGGTGTGGGGCTGAAGAGCTGGCTCATGGGTTAAGAGCACTGGTTGCTCTTGCAGAGGAACCGGGTTCAGTTCCCAGCACCCACGTGACAGCTAACAACCATCCAGAACTCCAGTTTCAGGGGATCTGATGCCCTTTTCTGACCTCCACGGGCATTGCATGACACAGGTACACTTACGTACATGTAGGTACTACACTCATAAAATAAAATAAAAATAATATTTTCTTAAAGACTGTGGGGGTTGGAGAGAGAGCTCAGTGGTTAAGAGTGCTTACTCCTCTTGAAGAGGACCTGAGATTGGTTTCCAGCACACATGTCAATTGACTCATAACCGCCGGTAGCTCCATCTTAAACATGAGAATGTGACCAGTGGGATGGTGCAGGGTCAGGGGACCAGGCATATTTTCAAGCACAGTTTCTTTTTTTTTTGAGAGCATTGTCCCACTTTTTCTTTTCTTCGTTTCCTTCTCTCCTTCTGTTCCTTTCCCTTCCTCTTTCCTTATCGTTTCCTCTTCTCCCTTCTCAATGCTCCCCTCGCTCTTTTCCCTCCCCTCCATTCCGCTCCTCTCTTTTTGACTTTTTTATGATTCCAGGGCCTGTGCATACTACACAAGTGCTCTACCACTGAGCTATACCCAAGCCCTTTCATTTTCAAGTTAAGACTAACTTTAATATTAAAATCATGTATTCATGTACTATTTCAATGATTACTTCCTGGAGGACAGGAATTCTGTGTCCTAGTCAGGAAGAGTCTTGCCTATGCCTGTTCTATTCAGTGAAGTGTTTCCCCTCTAACGATTACAGAGTTTTAAGTCTTTCATAGGCTCCTTGACTCATTTCAAGTTGACTTTTGTATCTGGTGAGAGATAAATATCTATTTTCACTCTTTTTTCATGGGAAATACATTTCCAGCACCATTTCTTGAAGAGTAATTTTGGTATCTTTGTAAAAAAAAAAAAAAAAACAAAACCCAGGTGGCTATGGTTATGTGGGTTTATATCCACATTCTCTATTCCATTGATCTATGTGTCTCTTTTTGTGCCCATATTGTGCTGTTTTTGATCTTATGGGTTTGTAGTAGATCTTGAAATTAGTTATGGAGTGATACCTCCAAGAGGATTCTTTTGCCCAGGATTGCTTTGACTCTCTGGGTCTTTTGTGCTTCCATATACATTTCAGAATTGTTTTTATATTTCTGTGACAAAACAGCATTGAAAATTTAATGAGTACTTTACTGAGTCTATGAATCTATAGATTGCTTTTGGATATATAACCATTTTTACCATATTAATTCTTCCAATCTGTGAGCATGACAGATGTTTCCAGCTCTGGTATGTTCCCCAATTTCCTTCTTTATTGTTTTAAAGTTTTAATTGAAGAGGTTGTTCACTTACTCGTTAAGTTTATTCCAGGATTGTCTTCTTTTTGCAATTGTAAATGGAATTGTTGGGGAAGCTGAAGAGATGGCTCAGCAGTTAAGAGCACTTGCTGCTCTTGCAGAGGACCCAGGTTTGAATCCCAGCACCCACATGACAGCTAAAAACCATCCATAACTCCAGTTACAGGGGATCTGACACCCTCTTCTGATCTTCATGGGCGTTGCACAACATGGGTGCACTTACATACATGCAGGTAGTACATTCATACAGATAGAATAAAAAATAACAAAAAGTTTTAAAAATGGAATTATTGGGATCGTTTCCCTGATTTCTTTCTCAGCGCATCGGTTATTGGTGTATAAAGGCTACTGACTTTATCCTGATCCTTTGCTGAAAGCATTCATCAGCTCTAGGAATTTACTTGTGGATCTTTAGGATCTCATATGTAGGATCATATTTGTATCCTTTTTATTTCATCTTCTCTTATTGATCTAGCTAAGACTTGAAGCATTATATTGAATGAAAGTGGCGATGGTGGATACCCTTGCCGTCTTCCTCATACTAATAGAAATTCTTAGAGTTTTTTCCCACTAGTTCAAGGTCAGATGTAGATTTGTCACATGTAGCTTTATTACATTGAGGTATGTTCCTTCTGTTTCTAGTTTCTGTGGAGCTTTTGTAATGAAGGGATGTTAAATTTTGTCCAGAGCTCTTTTCTAGTCCTATTGAAATCTTCATGTGATTTCTGTCTTTAAGTCCATGTATGTAATGTATTACATTTATTGATTTGCACATATTGAACCATCCCTGCATTTCTGGAATGAAGCCAATTTGATCATGGTGTGTGCACAATCTTTTGCTGTGTTTGTCAATTTGATTTGCAAGTATTTTGTTGAGAACTTTTGCGCCTATGTTCATCAGGGAGTTGGGCCTGTAATTTTTATTTATTCACTTTTTTGTTGTTGTATCTTTACTTCATTTTGTTTTCTGGGTAATATGGCTTATAAAAAGTGTTTGGCTGTGTTCCCTCCCTGCTTTTCTCTTTCATGGAATAGATTGAGAATGATGGGTGTTCGTTTTGCTTTTATTATTATTATTATTTATAGTTTTTTTGTGTATTTAATACAGACTATCCCAAACAATCTTATTCATCTTTATACCTGCATCCCAAATGGCACCCTCCTATAGCCACCCCTCCCCCGACTGGAGCCATATACTCTGTCATCCCTGTTACTGTCCACTGTGTTTAAAGTTCTGATTGAATTCCACAGAGAATCCATTTAGGTCTAGATTTTGTAGTTGAAATATTTCTTTTTAATCCTGTTTCAGTTTCATTGCTTGTTATAGATTTGTTTAAATTGTTTGTCTCATCTTGGTTTAATTTTGTTAGGTTGTATATGTTTAAATTTTATCCATTAGCTTTAGATATTACAATTTAGTAGAATGTACATTTAAAAATATGTTTTAATGATTCTCTGAATTTTGCTGGTATCTGTCAAATGGCTCCCTTTGCATCCCTAATTTTGCTCTTTTTGTTATTCTGGCT